AACTCAGACATGTGTCTCGAAAGTAAAAGTGCAGGAAAGAGGAACAATTTGTTGCATTGTTGAGGATTGTGTAGTACGTAAACAGTTTTAGATATACATGCGTGGTAGTAATGCAACAGGATGCTTAAATGCAAGATACGTGATTGATAAAAACACCGTTTAAAACTACCAATACCCTAAAATATTTTTAAAACCAAAAACACAGTGCACCCTTTCAGTCGCAGCGGCATTTAATCTCCATCATGCCAAAGCTACCCCCCCCCCAATAAAATGGGACAGACGGGGAGAACTTTCAAAACCTGATGCTCAAAACATATATTCCGGTTACTGATAACATATTGTAGGGACAGGTCACTCTTATGTTCATCTTAAAGATTCACTTGAAATCCTACTAAAATTAAATAAAGGAAATCACGGGACCATATTAGAAAAATTGTAAATCAAACGACAAAGAAAAAGAGGCCATTCTGTACTCCATCAAGAAGGGTTCGATTTTTACGCAATTCCGAACACGCCCCCCTAACTTGTCCAGTGAAACTCGATCCGCCCCGTCATTAATTGTTAGCCGTACATATCTGATCTAGCACATATACTCTACAGGAACAAATTATTGTAAGCAATATTTCCTTCTTCATGCAACAATAAAATATAAATCGAATAGACAATAAATTTCAATATAATACTTCCATATATATATATATATATTTTTCTATTTGCATTGTTTAACGCAGATGCATGTATAAACCAAGACATGCTGTTCGTCCACAAGGACCTAGTAACAACAGCAGCATTTAAGCAATTATTTCAAAATAGTCTTCAGCGTTAACATGACGCCTACCAGTTATATTACATCAAATGTGCTAATAAGACATGTCTAAATAGCGAAAGTTTTTTTTTATCTATACACAGTTCTATTTCCAACTACTTGGTCCCTTAAAAAACTTTAAGGGAACACATGAATACCTGCTTTAAAACGTAATAAACATTTCTACGAGTATCATATGTACATAATATGTTGAGAATTTTTAACTTTTTTTTTAAATCATTTCTCAATTTCTGTCATATTATACCCACTATTACCTCAGCTTGCCGGTCACGGTAGCCGAGCGGTCTAAGACATGCATTGTCTTCGTTCGCTCGGAAGCCGGGATCGTGGGTTCGAATCCCACTCAGGAAATGGATGTTTGGTGTTTGTGTGTGTATGTGCACAGGTAGATGCCTTGCGACGAGCTGATCACCCGTCCAAGGAGTCCCACCGAATGTCTAAGATCTAGTCCCAAAGTAGGGTTATAGCGCAAAAAGAAAAAAAACAATTGCCTCAGGTTAATCTTCCACACTTCCCTATTTTACTGTCATCTATTTACATGCCACCATATACTTTATTAACGTAGTAAATTTGGTAATTGACCCAGCACCAGATAACATCTACTATTAAGCCACTGTAGATGGTCTTGATATGATAAAAAGATAAGTTGTCCCTGTGCTTAATTACGTAGTTAAGCACTATGCCATGAAGACCTGGGGGAGTGGAGGTATAGCTCCAACATTCTTGACCTCGGCACTAGGTGGAGGTGAGTGGTCAGCTTCACGCCCCTGCCGCTTTACCCCCGGTACCCATTGGATAGGAGGCTGGGTGGGCCCCAGAGCCAGTCTGGGCGCTGTGGGGAATGGGAAAATTTATCGAACCCGGGCCGTCCAGCTTGTAGCCCATCGCTATACCGACTAAGATATTCTGTCTCGATGTATGAAATTCTTTCGTGCTAATAATTATCCAGCCGAAGACTGTTTCTGTAAAACCGAAAAATGCTCTGGAATAAATTTTAATGAAATTACTAATACACGTACTATACGGTATTTGTTTTGTGCAACGGATATTCTGCTATATCTACAAACACAGGATGCTACTTGTGAAAATCACACTAAGTCTATAATATAGCGTCGAATGGTATTGTGGCATGTAGACCCGTTGCTAGGCGGCGACCGCGAGATAGGCGACGGTACAACGGCCGTTGCCAGGTAGCGGTCTGCAAACAACAGAGAAATGGTGTTTTGTGAGGCAATCGACAGCCGGTAAGAACGTGAGCAGGGAAGCAGAGGACATTGTTGGGATCCATCACCAGGCAACGACTGGTGAAGACACAGCAGAATGAGAAGACTTAATACGTACTCAAATGAAGTTCAGAGTGTGTTAATTAGCGTTTGGTCTATAGTTACTTGTAGTTATGATCTGTAGGTGTACAATAAATCCAATTACCAATCCACGAGCCGTGTACAGTCACTTTGAAATCGTGACAGTATGATTAGTGAATGTGAACGGATATGGAACAGAAAGGTGGTGGCCTAATTTGAAGTACTGTCCTGGCATTTGTCGGGGATTGAGGAAAAACATCAAAACACCTCAGTCAGGAGAGTTGGTGTCCCGGCCGAGATCGGAACAAGGAACCTTCCGAATACAAATCACAAGCGTTACAACTTACGCTCGAAAAAAGGTGTAAAAAATGCATACGAAGTTAAATTAGGCTAAGTGAAGTGACCCTTAAAATAAATCAAAATTAATTACGTACGTCTTACTCAACACTGATTCACTGTCTTACGTGCCAAGCGTCCTTCTTAAACGTATTTAAAAATATTTAACTTATATACAGTGCGTCTTTTAAACCTTATTTAAAAGCTTCTGTACATTGCAGCACATGTTTCGACCGACATTGGTCATCATCAGGTGTCTAAAATTGTAGGTGGAGACTACCGTGCTTCGGTTTTGTGTTTCTGATATTCGATGTGTAGTCCCAGCTACGTGCTCGTGTATTTCACGTTGCTGGGTGTCTCCTCCTGTTGTGTTGTGTGTTTATACACTATATATCCAATATCAGAATCACAAAACGGAAGAACGACAGTCTCCACCAACAATTTTAGACATGTAATGATGACCAATGTTGCGTGTCTAGACTAGGAGACTCGTAGAGTTGACATACAACACAACAGGAAGACGCACCCAGCACGATGAAATATACGCGCGTGTAGATGGAACTACACATCGAATATTAGAGTCACAAAACGGAAGCACGGTAGTTTCCACCTGTAATTTAAGACAGCTGATGACAGTGCTTGAGGTGGAATGAAAATAGAACCGGGATGGTTCTGCACGTGGAAAGAGGAAACGTGTTCACCCGAAGTGCGAGAAATGTGATATGGGACTGTGCATTCTCGGGTGCTTCAAACAGTACCACACGAAAGCAAAATTTAGTTAGACGACGCAGGGGAGTAGCCTGTACAACCATGAAACAGATAACAACAACAACAACAAAAAAAAAGGTATTGTACATTGCATTTACTGCCAAAGAACTAACGGGATGCTTTTAAGCCATTTAGAAAAGAACCGGGATGCCATCCCGCCGCATCCCGCCCCACCTCAAGCCCTGTCTGATGACCAATATTGTGTCTAGACTATGAGGCTCGTGGTCTAGGCACAAAACACAACAGGAAGAGACACAAAGAAATGGAAAGACCACGTAGATGGAATTGGTGAAAACTAACGGCCAACAATAGCATTGAAATATAAATTTATTGGATGAAGAGTAAGAGGAAGGCCAAGGCGGTGCTGGAAAATGTTCTGAAATCTGTATATGAATTAAGTTACTTAATCCGCTAAGAAACGATGGAAATAAAAATAAACAAAATGCAATTCTGATCGAAATGTTAACGTTACAGAATTCTTCAAATATTGAAAATTAAAAAATTACAATTTTATTTTTATTCTAATTAACTAGGGGTGAGGTGGGTCACAATACGATTGGTTGGATCTGTTTTAGCAGCCATAAACCTTCGGCTTTTTGTAACAGGGTGTTAGATAGGTCCAGAAATAATCGCTAATGGAAAATGTTCGGTTCCTGACACAGAGTTTAAAAAATTTGAAAATATTGGGTAAGTTCTAGGGATGCCAATCAACCGCGTTTCGTCGGAACATTCGAAATTCACGAAATTTCGAACCCCAGGGATAAGTAGGAGTTTCTCTGTTCTACAAAGTTTGCAGCTCTTGATCTTGTGCTTCCTACACATACTCTTCTTCACTATTGCAGGACTTCTCTAGCCACTGTTAAGATTTCTTAATTCTTCAGTGTTTTGCAAGAATGGTAGTTTGAAACTGCCAAATTCTCACTTTCTAACTTTGGTAGCTGATATCCAAAACTACGCGTGAAACAAGAAATTTCAGCATCAGTACCTAAAACCCAATTCAGATATCACAGTGACAAAGCATATAGGGGTTCGGAACTTGAAAGGACTGGAATGATATTCACAAAGCCTGTGCAAATACTTGCATATGTGGATGGTATACAGTGGGGTGATAATTAATTACATGCACTCAAAAACACCTTCACCACCAACTCACGAAACGCATCTTATAATAGGTAAAGCTGCGTTTGAAAAAGCTTAATTTAAATGCTTGGCGTCGGTAGTAATTAACAAAATTAAGAACAGCCCATTTCTTACTAATAAATGCTACCATGGTTGCAGAAAGCAACTCAGCTTACAGTATCTGAAATTGGCAGCTACATGTAAACTTCATAAAATCTTTATGTCGGTGCTATTCTATAGCTCAGAAAGCTGAATGCTTACAAATAATGGCGAAATAGTCTATTGGTCTTTGAAAGAACGGTCTTGAGGACAGCTTATGAACCAGAAAGAGAAAACAGCCAATGGAGAAGCCGATACAACAATGAACTAACTATATGTATCAACTATGTCATGATCATGTTCTATAAATTATTAAGGAGGGTCGACTGAGATGGGCTGGGCACCTAGCCAGAATGGATGGTGAACTCGCAGTAATATTAACTCCTAGTAAGCCGAAAGAAAGAAGAGCCCAGAGTAGACCAAATTTCCGGTGGCTTGACAGTATAAAAAAATCTAAAAATACCGGAAGTCAACAACTGGCGGCGGAAGGAGTAGATGAATAAGTTTTGGAAAATGCTGATAGAGGGGCCAAGACCCAAAGCGGATTGTTAAGCTAAGAAAAAGATGGGTCTTCTATTCTTCGCCGTGCGAAATGAAGTTGACAGTTCACCGAACAACAGTCCATAGTAAAGTTAGGTTCTAAGAACTGTGCATCCTATTATGTAACCCAGAATGCGTAAGAATTATGCTATAATTATGGAAACCACGTAATGATCTTGGCAAGGTAAGATCTAATAAACAATATGAAATATAGTGAAAGAATGAGCTGTGTTACATCAACCGACATGGCCTACTTCTCGAATTGCTATATATCATGCACATTCTATTCTTGTTACCTGAATTCAGTAATTAAGTATGGAAATGTAACTTACCGCCTCGATGTCTGTCCGTTTCCTGGAGTTTTCATTTGCTTTCGTTCAACTTCAATACGTGTCGCCTCTACCAGCTCCCGCGGTCTTATGCGTGGTTCGTTGCCGTTGCTCCTCTGTCAGGCGTGCAGGCGGGAGGAGCATACAGAACTTATCCAAGTGTGTCGAATAATGCAGGCTCATCTGTGGTGGGTCGCACGTCTAGTCCGTCTAGTCAGTCAGCCAGCTGATTGACCTTTCCAGGTACAGTTGTTGATCGGTACAGAGTGGTTTGGGGCCCGTTTAACTTAATTAATAACCAGTAACTAAAATGTAGGTTAGGTTGGGGGTGGCCATGAACTGATATAATCCCAAACAAAACGTAATGGAATACTCAGGCCTGGGAAGTTCACTGCCATTACAGAGAAAACCCACCTCAGCGCTGTCTTCAGGGCAGTTGCTGGCCCTGGTGACGTGTACAGAGGGTTTCTGAGATGAACAAAGAATTCACTTAAACATGCTCAAATTACAAGCCTTTCTCATAATGTTAAATTTGGCAAGTCCAGTCCATTTTTTTTTTTGGTTTGCATTTGTTTTAGTCTCAATTATAGTCTGGGATTTGATCTAGCTTGTAAATATTTGGTTTCTCTAGTTCCAAGCCCAACTTTCAGGCCCATACAATAAAGCGGGCATAAAGTAAAAGTAAAGCTATCCTTGTAACAGGCCGTGAAGGCCCATAGGGTCCATAGGGTTGTGAGATTATGAGGGTCCCACCTTATCTAGACAATCAGCTCAAAGATGGAGGTAAGGTTGTCAGCCTTACGCCCCAGCTGTGCTTTACTCCCCAGGAAAATTATTTAATTAATTTCTGGTACTCATTTCTGTTAGAGGCTGAGTCGACTCTAGGGCCGTAGTGTGGCTGCAAGGATTAGGTCACATAAGTTAGTGTTTAAATAACCACTTAACAGTCGTTTTAGGAAGTCCGGTATAAACTACATGACATTACATTCCAGAAGATGCCACTGAATCAAAGCTGTGAGAAAGTCAAACCTCACAATTTTATGTAACTTGTATCTCAGAATAAAAAATAAAACAGCAAAATTATTATATATTGGTAGCCTTTTCATACATATGGTTACTTTTTTTACATTTTGTACATTGGAAATAAATTTGCAGATTTTGCACTGGTCACTGGTTTATAGGATACTTTTCTTTTATATTCAGACAGCAGAGGCCAACCAGACTTATTTCAACTTCATTTCTGAACATCAATTTCAATATTATTCTAACAGTTAAGCTTACATCTTCTACAAGGCTTCTATATCAAAACTGGGTTTTGTGTACATGCCTAACTCATGAAGATTAACTGCCAATACTGATAACAACAGCTTCGTACAAATATTCTGTTCCCGCATTCTCCCCCCCCATAAGAAACCATGACTTCCAATTATATAAAATAGTGTATCAAATTAATTTCAAAATTATTGATTCTAATTAAACAAATCCATGAAGTTGAACCCTTCTTGAGAAGCCACCAGTTGTGCAGCTTCTCAAGAACTTCCCAACATTTTATCGAATGTGAAGTTTCATTTCTGTTCTCACAGAAGCCCTCCACTAGTCCACATCCTAAGCCAGATCAATCTAGGCCATACCACCCCATCCTATATCTCTAAGATGCATCTTAATATTATCCTCCCACCTACATCTAGGTCTTCCTAGTGGTCTCTTTCCTTCTGGCTTTCACACCAAAATCCTGTAGCATTCCTCTTCTCCCCCATGCATGCCACATGCCCTGCCAATCTCATCTTCCTTGACTTGATTATTCTAATTATACTTGGTGAAGAGTAAAGTTATGAAATCCTCATTATACAGCTTTCTCCAATCTTCTTTAAATTACTGACTCAGACATGTTAAATAAATGCACTCACCAGATGGCTTTTTAGCTTTGCAAACCCTTCCAACATAAAAATAGTGTCATTATTTTATAGCAGTCATTTTCCAAAGGTTTCAGACGAATTACTGGCCCTTTGTATTTGAATTTCTTGACCTTTTTTCCATACTCCTAGGTTTAAGGTTTTCTATGAATGCTGGCCTTCTTTAGGACAGACTCACATTCTTCTGTTATTTACCTTTGCCTCCATCTCTTCATTCTTATCTTCTGTACATCATTTTGTACACCAGCCTCTACTTAGTAAGGTAAAGTCTTCTCTGGGCTTAATTAATTAGGCACCATGCCATGAAGATGGGAGTTCAAGTATAGTTCCACCATTTTGACTTTGGCACCAGATGGAGGTGAGTTGTCAGCTTCATACCCCTGCCTCTTCACCTCTGGGGAAACATTCATCAGTATCCATTGTCTAAGAGGGTGGACAAGCCTCAGAGATATTCTGGGCATTACGGAGAAAAGAAAATTCTCTTTCCTCTAACAGGAATTGAAGGATTTTGCCCTCCATCGCAGACAAAATGAAACATAAAGTTGAAAAAGCAGTAGTCTGGTGCTCCAAAATATTTGTACCTACGCATATCTACCAAAGTATACACTGTCATATCCTAGAAGATAGTAATTTTCATTATCTGAACTTACTGACAGAACATAAATTTGTACTGTATTGACAAATCATAAATATCACTCTACTAGAATTATTACGAAGGGCGCTCCATATATAATGCCTCCTATTTTTTGTGTTAATCTGAAACGTCTGAGCTGGATGTTGGTAGTGTTGTAAAGGTTAAACCTTCCTGCCAATGTACTGTTAGTTTGGTTGTCGTGCGACGGATAGCGACAGCAGAGCAGTCTACCAAAATGGCGTCTGACATAGAAGTGCGTACGGAGCAGACATCTGTTATTGAATTTCTCACTGCACCCATTGACATCCATCGACGCTTGCTAAAGGTGTACGGAGACGATACAGTGGATGTCAGCACAGTGAGGTGCTGGGTAGTGCATTTCAACAGTGGCGAAAGTGAAGTGCACAACAAACCACGCCCTGGGCGTCCCTGCTCAGGTGCCACTCCTCACAGTGAACAGCGCCTCGATCAGGTCATCCATACAGATTGGCAGATAACCAGGGAACTGTGAGCACAGCTTAGTAATGCCTGTAATGCATTGTAATGCTTGCAACACGATAACGCTAGACCCCATACAAGTTTGGCTGGACCCTCCTACCCCATCCACCTTATAGCCCTGATTTAGCACCTTTAGACGTCCATCTCTTTGGGCCTATGAAACATGGACTATGTGGGCAACATTTTCCAGACAACGATGCTGTCATTGCAGCTGTAAGAAAGTGGCTTGCCTCTGCTGGCACAGACTTTTACAAGCACGACATACAGGCTCTTGTTCATCGCTGGCAAAAGTGCATAATGAATGGTGGTGATTATGTGGAAAAATAACTGTAAGTAGCTGAAATCTTGCTCTATTTTACTGTGTTATTATGCTTTCTGTATCTGTTGTAGTTTTCATTTTAAAAAATAGGAGGCATTATATACGGAACACTCCTCATATTATTATTATTAAACTTTGTAATTTGCCTCTGAGCTGTTAAGTATGCACATAAATAAACAAAAATTGAATTGAATTATGGCTCTACAGCCCTTTGTTGGGCCTTGGCTGCATTTTCAGTTTCTTGATCCTACACACAGATGGTAGGACAAACAAATGTACATAATACAGACATTCATGCCTTGAGTAGGAACTGAACCCATGATCCCAGCATTCATGTGAGCAAAGACAGTTCATGCCTTAGACCGTGCAGCCACTGTGATCAGCTATTCTACCAGAATATCTCACATTAACTCTCTTTTTTCTTCTTTACAACCAGTGATTCAATTGGAGAAGCAGATGTAGTTTCAAGAGATTTCCTGACAATCAGAGCAGTTGTGAATGAAGAATGCACAATAACAAGCAAATATGGGTGTCTACACACAGGGCAGCAGACTGCATTTATTCACATTAATGTTCCAAAGCTGGTCACGGTAGCCAAGCGGCCTAAGGCGTGTACTGTCTTCACTCACTCAGAAGCTGGGATCTTGGTTTCGAATCCCACACAAGGCATGGGTGCTTGGTGTGTGTATACATTTATTCTGTGTTTGTGATGTCCTGTGTTTAGGCAGAGGCCTTGCGATAAGCTGATCACCTGTCCAAGGAGTCCTACATCATCTGTAAAATAATCATGAAACTGAGAAATCATCTCTATGCTCCAAAGTTGGAGCAACAGGAGAGGAAAGAAAGAAGAAGAATGTTCAAAACTTCACAACAGTCACAATAGTAATCTATAATACTAGTGAATGGATCAGTTTAGTTCACTTAGTAGCCAATTTTCTTTTAAATTGAAAATATATTTCACAGAATTGTCATGCTAAATAAAGGAAGAGATTCTGTTAATCAACAAATATATTTACTTGCAGTCTGTTCGTTGACCATGTCAGTTACTTTCAAACTTCAAAATGAGGATTCTGAATTAAAATAACACTGCTGTGCTTAAAGCACAGTCCAATCCATAAAATAAAGCCAATAATGGCCATTAATAAACAGTGATTAGCAGTCCCTCAAGACAGATAACCATAGAATTAGTTGTGCATAGCCCTCGTGCTATACCATCTAATCTCCTTGAATTACATAATATCTAGTTTATGTCTGTTTATTCCTGAAACTGCTCATCATAAACTGCCTGGTCTGTATAAATTCATAACTATTTGTGTACCAATTCCCTTGCCCTTGAAATGTTGCTCAATTGGCCTACTTTATTCAGTTACAAGGATTGTGCAATAGTTACATCACTCACTCCCTCATGGAACTGAGCCCTTCTGGAGAAGCCGCCAACTGTGCATCTCCTCAAGAACTTCCCAGCATTTTATGAAACCTGATGGTTCATTACCATATTCACAAGAGTCCTCCACTGGTCTCTTATCATCAGCCAGATCAATCCAATTCATACCATCCCATCCTATCTCTCTAAGATCCATTTTAATATTGTCCACCCACCTACATCTTGGTCTTACTAGTGTTCTGCTTCCTTCTGGCTTTCCCACCAATATCCTATATGCATTCCTCTTCTCCCCCATTCGTGCTACATGCCCTGACCATATCATCCTTGACTTGTTCATTCTAATTATACTTGGAGAAGATGAAGCTCCTCATTATGCAGTTTTCTCCGTCCAGTCACTTCATCTCTCTTCAGTCCCAATATTCTCAACATCCTGTTCTCAAACACTTTCAGTCTGTGTTCCTTCTTTAATGTCAGAGATCAAGTTTCACATCCATACAGAACCACAGGCATAGTTTTGTATATTCTAATTTTTATGTTTTTGACAACAGATGAAAAGACAAAAGGTTCTGGATTGAATGGTAGCAAGTATTACCCGAATTCAGTCTCCTCTTAATTTCCTCCTGAATCAGGATTTGTTATAGTCGTTCCCAAATATCTGAATTGTGCCATATTTTGAAAACATGTTAGCTATCTCTATGTCATGATTTTGCTGTGCATTATGGTGATGAGACAGCAATATAAGTTTTCTCTGAGTTTACTTCTAGGCCAACCTCCGCATCAATTAAAGTTTCTGTGTTTTTCTTTATGGTATCTGTATTATCACCCAGTATGTTCACATCATCAGCACAGACAAACAGCTGATGTGTCCAGTTTAATTTCAGTCCCACTTGGTCTTCTTGGACCTTCCTAATGTCACATTCTAAAGCAAAGCTGAAAAGCAGTGGCAATAAAGCATCTCCTTGTTTTAGACCATTCTGAAAAGGAAAATTATCAAATATTTATCTATACAGACTTTAGCCATTTAACTGTCAGTAGTTTTGACTGTACTGCATCATATGGCAGGATGATTTGTGAATAACAAATTGGATGTGGAATTGTCATGTATAACATGAGGTATTCCAGCATTTGCCTGCAGAAACTGAGGAAAACCAAAAAGTACCGCAGTCAAGATTGTCCCGGGAGCTCGCAGATACGAAGCAGCAGTGTTACTCATTTGACTATGATGTTCCCCCAAGTGGGTAGGGCAGTGTTAATTTTCCACTAAAGATAGCACACATCAAAATGGCACTGTTTCATATACAAAATCAAAGTACTGTGGCAATCATCTTGAATACAGTAATTTTTCAAAATGTTAAATCATTTTTTTATAATTATGAACCCTTTAGTTAAATTAAAAATTGGTTTCCAATTATGGAATGAGCTTAAACATTTTGGGCAGAATTTTTTTGTTTTTTTGTCAAGAAATACCAACTTTAGACCACATACATGGACTATTTCAAGCTCACAACAGTATCTCCTCCAATCAAGAATGGAAGTAGAAAGCTAGGAGAAACCTGATGCATGTGTCTTTTTACAAATAACCCCAAGTACCTACATGAATGTATATTAGATAATTCTTCAAAAAAGTAGACCATTACTTATGTCCCATTTCATAATTCATCATCAATCTAATATTAATTGTTCCCAGTGCCTTACAAAATTATTGTCTGAGGACAAATAAATATACCAAGTATATAATTTTAAGAACTCTATTTCATGTCCTTTTCACCATAGAAGATTTCCCTATAAAAATAATTATTTACAAGTTTATTATTATTATTCTACATCCATTATGTTTGGTAAATAATTTTTCTCTTTAGCACACAGTGTTGTGTATTTTATTCTTCACAAGTTCAAAGCAAAAAAAAATTAACAGTTTTCCACAGTCTCTGGGTTTGGTACTATGTACCTAATGTTATTATTAACATTATGAAATTACTTCAAAATACAGAATTTATTCATTCTTACAAAAACACTTTTCCAGTGAAAGTGAAGTAGAGGATCTGGTCATGTTCAGTTTCTCTCTAATTCTAAAATAAGGTAAACAAACACACTAAGTAGCTTTCTTGCTATCCATGATCTTCACTGCTTCGAACACATCATCGGCAAGAAGTTCGGGCTCTTCAAATGCAGCAAAATGGCCCCCGCGAGGCATGTCGGTATATTGTACAAGTTTAAGATATTTTTCTTGTAGAAGAGATTTTGGTTGGTAGGCTAGTTCATTAGGGAATGCAGCACATGCTGTTGGTGTTATGGATGGGATGCTGAAAGCAATAAAAGACAAAAATAAATACACTCCAACATAATCTGCCATATCTAAGTGCATGATATATCTACAGCTGTGAAGGCTTTTAAGTCCTGTTTGTACAGTCCAGAAGTTATTTTGAATATTAAAGGGGGGTAATATCAAAAGTTCAGTTTATACTTATAAAGAATTTAAATGAGTTATAAAATATGTGAATAGTATAACAGTTGTGCTATGTTTGATCCCCCTTTTTTACTTAATTATTTCAAAGACCTTAGCCTTGCAAAAAAAAATCTTCATAAGAACAGCCACTGGACCATAAGAATCTGTCCAAGACCAAGGATTTTTGTGATATTTTGTAACATTTCTACTTTTTACAGTGAGATATTATCAGTCCTTGCTGGCTGTCTGTCACTGCTTATTCAAAATAACTGCAACTACCCTCTGTATCTGGGGATCACCTTCATCAACAATCTCAGGACACAGCGACAAGATGCCCATTCAACATGGAGAAATTAATCTGCCATATACATTCATACCGTTACTGCAGAACAGGAGGTCTCAGGTAAAGTATAGTAAAGCTATCCCTGTAACAGGCCATGAAGGCCCATAGGGTTGTTAGACGTTGAGGGTCCCACATTATCTAGACAGTCAGCCTTACTCACCGGCCACGCTTTACTCCCCAGGAAAATTATTTAATTAATTCCTGGTAGTCATTTCAGTTAGAGGCTGAGTCGACCCCAGGGTCATAGCGCGACTGGAAGGATTAGGTCAATTGAAAAAAATCCAATGACCTCGTCGGGACTTGAAACCGCGACCTTCCAGCTTGTAGTATAGTGCCTCAACCAACTATGCTACCATATGTTCCAGGTCTCAGGTAAAACACCAAAATTTCACTTAAACAGTCCCTTATTCGATTCTGGACTGGAACTGGATACAAGGGTCTGCATGCAGATCTACATGTTCTCTGAATCATTTGGATGTACACAGTACAAAGCCCTCACCACGGTTTGGGGCCCATGAAAAGCAGCTAGCTGTATTTATAGTCATCTTATAATAATGAATAACACGTGCTCCCAGCTCAAATTTGAGTCTGATCATTTGGCTATGCAGTAAAGAGCAGAAATATCAATAAAACCATAATGAAGACACCAACTGAATAGCATTACAAATTTTTATATCATTTGAAAGACCAACCTGTCCAGTTTCAGTGCAAATTGTGCTTTAGTGAAGGCCTCACTGTACAGTCTCACTGAAGTTGTAATGGAACCAGTCACCCAATATATCATCACATTATCAAGCAAATCTGTTAGCCTGTACTTTCTTGTCAGACCTCCATCTGGCAAGGATCTCCAACTCCTCTCTGTCCACGTTGAAAACTTTTCCAAAATATATGCAGCCAAGCCAACGGGAGAATCACGAAGAGCAACTCCTGTGTGATCAAGGTACAATTATTATTTGTATACTGTGGTGTGCGATATAAAAGCTGGAATATCTGAGTCAGAGCGGGCTTCAATATATAGTCACGTTTCCTGCACAACAGAGGTGACATTTTCATGACAATGGACGGATTAACTGTTTGATTCGGTGTTCCCTAGTCGGTAAGCCAAGCAGTTATGATAGAGGTCAGAAATGAAGGCAAAGAATATAAGCGAGAGGAGAATCCAGAAGACCAGAGGTACAAGATGGAGCTTAGAAAAGCCAGGGAACATCAAAACTTCAGCCAAAGAGAGTTTATGCAGTTCAGAGTTAAAGCAGCATAAACTGTGACATAATGATTATGTAAAATGACAGATCAAAGGAATCATGCTCAACTGGAGAGCGTAATGCAGGGTGAAAGTGAAGAAACCATAGAATGACACCCCCTCCAGTCTTCTTAAAATATTGAGATCTATAATGTAACTATTTTAAATTTCACAGTGAAACTCAGTTTGTTGCTAGGGCAGAAGATTTTCATCTTTTTAATCTTTCTTCTTGTTCCTATTTAAAAAATTCTTTGTGATAAGACTGGAGCAACAGTAGTGGTCAGAGGTTATCATTCATTGGGTGGCACAATGTAGTATTTCACTTCAGTCCTCCTCTGTCATACGCTGGTGACCGACAGCTCAAAGCTTGATAATCAGGCCACCACTCCAGTAAATGTATGCATCTGTGTTTCACAACTTCATAATAATATTTATGAAATTATTTTTGATTATGAATGAATAAAATGTATATTTTAATTAACACTGTTGCCTATTGCTAGAAAGCAATGGACTGTGGAATGAATACTCAGGAAAAGGGTGCTATTACTGTTGTGATACAGGTGTATTATATATTAAGAAAATAGATTTTATATTACTATATTAAGGATCTTGGTGGTCTTTTGATCATGTATGTAATTTTAAATGTTATTTTGATATATGGAATGTATTGCTGTACAGTAGTTTTGTTGTACTGAGTATTTAAATTTTGACGATGATGACTATCTGATTATGTATGTATATTTATATGTTATATTGTATTATTGACTTGTTCTATATCTGAGGCAGATGCCTCTATGGATTTTTTGGAACTATAAATAAATGAATGAATGAATTAAAAAATGTTTATTTCAAATGGCCAGAATGCATACAGGGTTTTGGTGGGAAACTCAGAAGAGACCACTAGGAAAACTTACACATAGTTGGGATGATAACATTAAAATGGATATGAGAGGTAGAGTGGTATGGACTGGATTCAGCAGGCTTAGGATAGGGACCGGTGGTAGGCTATTGTGGACATGATAATGAACATTTAGGTTCCATAAAATGGTCGGATATTCTTGAGTAGCTGAGAAACTGGTGGTTTCTCAAGAAGGAGTTATTTACCTCCATGGAGTTATTTATTTTAAATGGTCTGGAAAGGTAATAAATAAATATAAAACAAAGAGTACCATGATGCAGAATTCACAGAAAATGGAAGAAAACTGAGTATTTGTAAGATAAAACACAAATGTAATTTCATAAAAATATTAAGAAAATTAAATATTTAAATACAAACATATTCTACAGTTTCCAGACTTACCCAGTGTATCTGGCTTGGTGGCCTGAAGATGCATATAACCCATTTCTTCCAACAAATATGCATAGTGTTGTCCAACAGGGTACAACTTATCAACATGAGCCTCATCAACAATCAGGGTTGGCCATAAACTTCCAAGAAGTACTTTCAGATTTGCCGATAACGAGTTTGAAAAACACATATTGGAATGAACACCAAGAAGACTGTAAGTAAAAACATGCACGTCAGAAATCAAGTAACTCTGAACTAATTCCAAGTAACACAGTCCCTCTTGGAAAGTTAACAGTCACTTGGCCATGTTTTACGTACCCCAAGGCTCATAAGAGCCTGCTATCGGTCCCTGTCCTTTACATATGAATCCATGCCATAACCTCACATCATATTTACAGTCAATTTTAATAAGTCCCTCCCATCTATGTCCATGTGTCCCAAGTTGTCTCCTTACTTTAGGTTTTATGATTAAAATTCTGTATGTTTCCAATTTCTTCCATGCATAATACACTGCACACCTACAAGCCTACACATATCAAATAACTATATTACAATTCAAATTTCTTCATGAACTCTGCGTTTCTTTCAATGTTTGCATAGATTTGATCAACCAATTCCTGGAATATAATTATTTCCAAGTATTATTAATTTTTCTTTCCATTCATCAGTAGTTCTGCTTTGTAACGGCCTTTTATGATGACAGTCATCACGTCATTCACAACCATGCACAGGAGCACACACTCTGTCTCCCCCTACACTAACTAAAATAAACTAAACTAACTCCACGAAACTAAGCCCTTCTCAAGAAGCTGCTAGTCGCTCAGCTTTCTCAACATTTTAAGAAACCTGAAAGTTCATTACTGTGTTCATAAGAGCCTTCCACTGGTCCCTATCCTGAGCAAGACCAATCCAGTCCATACAACCCCATCCTATCTCTCTAAGATCCATTTTAATATTATCCTCCCACCTATGACTAGGTCTTCCTAGTGGTCCTTTGTAACATTCTGTAACAAAACTATTTTTTACGGCGAGGAGCTGTTAGCCTCATGCCCAACCCCCAAGCTGGAGGACAACCTCTTTGTTAGCTGTCTGTGACTGCTTATTAAATACATTCACAGCTACCCTCCATGACTGGAGACCGACTCCACCATCTGCAACCTGAGGACATGCCATGCCATGGTTATAATGGACCCACTTAACATGGAAGTGGCAGTGATGTATTACACAACAATTTTTAGAGTCCTGGCAGAAACTTAAATACAGGAAAATATTGTAAGGGCTGTAGCTTAGTATCTCAATGTTTCATCATGCCATTAAAATAACTGGAATATTACAGGACATGTTTTGGGGCTAATAAAAGACAAAAACATTTGTTGAATAAAGTTCTATATTTTACTGGGCAAGTTCTTTAAATGTAGAAATGCCTGGACTTAATTCAAGGTTTAATTGTTTCTTGCATCCTGTCGTGTATTTAATCAATATTAGAGTTAATTTCACCGACCACACAACACGTTTTTATTATTTTATTATTGAGGTCGAAACATGTAGTGTGACAATAATAAAAATGTGTTGTGTGGTCGGTGAAATTAACTCTAATATTAATTCAAGGTGTTTGCAGAAATCTGGACCGCCTCTGTTGTCTAGCTGTCAGCGTCCCGGATTCGATTCCTGGCGCTACCAGATTTTCTGAGAATTAGTGGGTCTGGAATAGGGTCCACTCAGCCTCATGAGGATAACTGAGGAGCTATTTCAAGGAAATAGCGGCTGTGGTCTAGAAAACCAAGATTAACGGTCGTGGGGATTCATTGTGCTGACCACGCGACACCCTCTATCCGCCGAAGTGGGCACTAACATCCCCGACAAGCGGCAGTCACTCAGTCGGTATAGTTCACTTGCGGACTACAGGCCACGAAGTTTGTTTTGTTCTTGTTTGCAGAAATCTTTAATTATATAAGATGTTACAGGGTACCTGTTACTGAACTGGTGCAGACATGCAGACACAGTGGAAATACAGTTAATGGTTATGACACTTGCACCAGATTAGGTTCTGCCAATTTTAATTTCAAAATAATTCTCCTCATGCTCATAAAAAAATTAAAAGTAAAGCTATCCCCGTATCAGGCTGCGAAGGCCCATAAGGTTGTGAGACACTGAGGGTCCCACAATATCTAGACAATCGGCTCAAAGATGGTGGTAAGGTTGTCAGCCTTACACGCCAGCCGCACTTTACTCCCCAGCAAAATTATTTAATTAATTCCTGTTACTCATTTCTGTTAGAGGCTGAGTCGACCCCAGGGCCATAGTGCGGCTGGAAGGATAAGGTCAATTGAAAAAAGCCAATGACTTCATTGGGACTTGAACCTGCAACCTTCCGGCTTGTAGCATAGCCACTCAACCAACTATGCTACCACGTGCCCCCCCTTATGCTCATAAAAACTGAAATTCCTTTTAATCCAAATCTATTTCTCACTTTTGGATTAAGCTTCTGATGATCTGTAGTTACAGCTATATAATACCATGAATCTGAGATTCTACTGATCACAAGGGTGCAAAGTCTTCACAGTCTTACTGATTTGTTCTCTTTTTGTTTACTGAAATGATATACAAAAGTGAATCTCATGAAATTAAGTTCCAGTTCTGAACATACTGCCATCTCATCACTGTATATGTGTACACACAGCAAATTCACAGATAATGACTGTTAGTGGTTTCTCATCATTACTTGCACCTACCACTGGAGAATATGATCACTGTTTATCTAAAGTCTACAGCACCAGTAACCTTGATTATAAAAGCAAGTCATAAATAGGGCAGTAGTTGGTTATGATAAAATTTTATCACAAATACAAGATGACGACAATATTCCTACAGTCAGGTTCAAAATACAAGTCACCATTACAATTAATGTCAAAGTCAACATATGTCTGTCTCCAACTGCAGGAAATAATTACCAAAAAAAAAAAAAAAAAAAANGACTGGAAGAGTGAAGCAAAAACCATCCAATACATATTTTGTAATGGAGAATTCCACTACTTCTGAATTATAAACATTACAAGTTTTAGAATCTAAAATGTTTGGGCAAGTAAACAGCTTTATCTAGAGATGTGGTATCTCCTATCTGAAACACATGGATACAGAGAGGAAAGTAAACAAATTCCAGTACACATATGCACAAAATGAAGAATCTTATTAAACGGATCCCCAAATTTTATAAGACCATGTCTATCCCTTTGTTATGATAACTGACTCCAAGGAGCTGAGCCCTTCTTGAGAAGCCTCCAGTTTCTCAGTTACTCAAGAATTTCCCAACAATTTATGGAACTCAAAGGTTCATTACCATGTTCATAAGAGCCCTCCACTGGTCCCTATCCTAAGCCAGATCAATCCAGTCCATACCACCTCATCCTATCTCTCTAAGATCCATTTTAATATTAACCTATCACCTACAACCAAGTCTTCCTTGTAGTCTCTTTCCTTCTAGCTTTCCCACCAAATTCTTATATGCATTCCTTTTCTTCTGCATGCATGCTATATGCATTGCTACTCTCCCTGTGCTATCATACAATACTGATATATGAACAATGGCTAAGAATGAACAGTATGAACAAGAAACAGCAGAAATGCACTTTCTGCACTCAGTAGCTGGAGCATCCCTACAAGACTGTATGAGAGGTAATGATATACAAGAACAGAATTTAGTATTTTTAAACTAAATGAACAAACTGAATATTATAAACAAAAATGGAAAGGTCACGTGATATAATGAAGGGGAGTCAACACAAGAAAAAGAAATGTGGAGAGACCCAAAATGAGATGGAAGGATCAAGAACTTATATGGATAGAATGAGCCTCTGAAGATGAGGATTGATAGTAAAAAAAAGTAAAAAGTAAGTAAAGGTATCTCTGTAACAGGTTGTGGAGACCCATAGGGTTGTGAGATGTTGAGGTGCCCACATTTTCTCGACAATCGGCTCATAGATGGCGGCAAGGTTGTCAGCCCTACGCACCGGCCGCCATTTACCCCCAAGAATAATTCCTGGTACTCATTTCTGTTAGAGGCTGAGTCAACCCCAGGGCCATAGTGCAGCTGGAAGGATTACGTCAATTGAAAACAATCCAATGACCTCATCGGGACTTGAACCTGTGACCTTCTGGAATGTAGCATAGTGCCTCAACCAACTATGCTACCACATGCGCCCGAGGAGGACTGATATGTTTGTTAATATGTAACTGTATCATGGCTTCTTGCCACATACAAACAACAATGCTGAAAGCTCTTGCTGACTGTTCAGTACCAATACTCGTATAGTCCAAGAAATTAATCAGAAAACGTCTTTCAGAAGAGCAGATTAGTATTTTACTTACAGACAGGTCACTGTAATGCAAATATGTGTGACTGAAAAGAAAATGGCAATGCCTCAGTGTTTTGTGAAACAAACTCAGTACTATGAAACTCATATTCATGAGACTTCATGTCACTGTAAGAAATGTAAAGGCCACAAGAGGTAGAAGTGTGCAGTCTAGATCATCAGATGTCAGCGTTTTAAAAACATGGTTGTGGAAACTGAAGAGTCAAAACCATTGATATCTAAGCCCATCACCAGAAATGACAGAGTCAGTTCCATCTACCTCACATCCTATCTTCCTATGATCCATCTTAAAGCTATTATCCTATCTCTTCTTGATATACCAAGTGGCTACTTTCAAATAAATCCCTACTCATCCGGCTGAGTTACATGCCGAATTTATTGCAGTCTCCTTCATTCTACTATTCTAACAGTAAGTGACTTGTATAAATCATAAAATTTTCATCAGTTGTTTTTTTCTTAAGTTTCCCACATACTTTCTCTCTCTTAGGTCAAAATACTTTACTGAACATTCTTTTTTAAATAATTATCTCTAGTGTATAATGGTTCCTGTATCTAATTCATGCTCAGGATGTATTAAGTTGGCCAAGGCCAAGGTGCATCTGATTTTGCAGTATGTTAAGTAATAAGCTATGCCCTCAAAATTTCCATCCATAGTTAAAAGTAAATGACATGAAATTTTCTCATATAATTATAATTCTGTAGCCCAATGCATCTGTTTATCTATTCGTACTGCATAATTGTTCCAAATATTCTGTTACCAATACATACATGCATAAGTTGTAGACTACATACCTTTTAGGAAAAAGAGTACCCATATTTGATACTATAAGTGCACCCCAGTCTCCACCCTGGGCATAAAATTTTTTGAATCCAATTCTCTCCATCAGATTCTTCATTACAACAGCCACTTGTGCCGGACCCAGTCCTGGTTTTGAAGCACCTTCAGAGAAGCCATATCCAGGTAATGATGGAACTATCACTTCAAATACAAAGTTCACATCTTTACGTGGTGTTGTCAGCAGTGGAATGATGTCATAAAATTCTCGCACTGAACCTGGCCAGCCATGAAGAAGAAGAAGCGGAAATACACGGATATTCTTGTCAACTTTCTGTGGTTTTACATGTATGAAATGAAGATCCAGTCCATCCACATATGTCTTAAAATGTGGGAACTTATTTAAGAAGACCTCCCGTTCCCGCCAGTTATACTTTGTCTTCCAGAACTCCACCACTTTCTTCAGGTAATCAGTGTTGAAACCATACTCAAAGTTGACATTTTCCATTGGCGGTGTGATATGTGAATGTAGGTCCAAGCGTATTTGCAAATCGTGCAGAATCTGTTATACATACATAACAAAAGATCAGGCTTATCCACCAGAGCTGAAGTGTTTGGTGGGGGAGGACATTTGTAATTAATGACAATTTTAGAACTACAGTTAATCAAGAATATATAGGTTCTGCCTCATCTGTGAATCTTTATTCTACTGATGGATGTGATATATAATACAAAATTACCTGCCACTTCAGGTAAGTTTTGGTCAGTTTATGACAGTGTTCATTATGTGAAGTAGACTTTCACATATCACAATGGTATTTCCTTCTCTTTCCCATTCATGTTGCCGCATACTTTACTGTATGTGCATAATCATTAAGGGAAGTTTCAAATTTATGTTAAATATTTGCTATGATTTTGCTGGTTACTGCCCGAATTCAATATTTCAGTATTTAAACTACTGTGAAGAAATTCATTTCATCATGCAATAGGACACAATTTGCATTTTCATTCTGTTTCAAAGAAGGTCCAGTAAATCAGCAAACCCTCATTATAACAGACTAATGGGGGGTGAGTCTGTTATCACCAATGTCCACTATAACCAAGTGAAGTATTTATGGAAGTACACAACAGAATAAAAAAAATCCATGGTTTTAGTCCATAAGCTAACTATTCTCTGCAGTCTAGTGGTCAGAGTTCCTGGCTACAGATCCAGAGGTCCGGGTACGATTCCTGGTGCTACCAGATTTTCTGAGTAGTAGTGCGTCTGGAACGGGGTCCATATAGCCTCATAAGGATAAATGAGGAGCTATTTCAAGGAAATAGTTGTTCCGGTCTAGAAAACTGAAATTAACCATTGCTTCTGCATGAACCCTACACTTGTTATGTATTACTGATAGACTGCATAATAAGCCATGTAAAGATGGCCTCGGCATAGCTCAAGCGGTTAGTCGCTAGCTTCCCACCGCGGTGGCCCAGGTTTGATCCTGGGTTGCACCATAGCTCAAGTGGTTAGTTGATGGCTTCCCACCGCAGCAGCCCGGGTTTGATCCCAGGTCTGGTCAAGTGGGATTTGTGGTGGGCAAAGTGGTGCTGGGGCTGGTTTTCTCCAAGTACTTCGGTTTCCCCTGCCAATCTTCATTCCACCAAATTCTCCATCATCATAATCACCTGGGGCAGGTACAATAGGCCAATCAGTGGCTGCCGTGCCAAGGGGACCCAGCTGGACTCCAACCCCCACTAAGCGAATTTAAATTTAAATTTTTTTAAATCATGTAAAGGAGAATAAGGTTACATACATCATCTGAAATATTGATTTTGAAGTTTCGGATAGATTCATCCAACTTGCGAGGTTGGCCAGCTCCCCACCACGTGTTTTCAAGCTCGGGGAGTTGTGGCACTTGGTTCAAAGTGTAGAAAATGTATCCGATAACAAGAGCAGTAAGAGTCACACTGACAAGAAGCAATTTCCCAAGGAGTCCCATTCTGCAGATGTCTCACTGAAACCACAGAACAAGATAGGTCAATATTATAGTTTTCTGAAGAATATTCTATCACCATCATTAATTTCCAGAATGGAGCAACTAAAGAATGATCCACTGTATGTTAAATTCAAATTATATCAAATTCTGTCATGGTGATGCTAGAAAATGGTTTGCCTCCGTATCTCCTTCTGTTTTAGTTCACAGCTTTACCTCTTTTTATAATGTAACCACTATATAAACTGGTGGCACGCAGTAGCGTAGTTGGTTGAGGCACTATGCTACACAGCCAGAAGGTCGTGGGATTGAATCCCAATGAGATTGATTTTTTCAGTTTATCTAAGCCTTCCAGCAGCACTATGCCCTGGGATCGACTCGGCCTCTAACTGAAATGAGTACCAGGAATATTCCTGGGGGTAAAGGGTGGCTGGCATGTAAGGCTGACAACCTTACCACCATCTATGAGCCGACTGTCTAGAAAATGTGGGAGCCTCAACATCTTACAACTCTATGGGCCACAGCCTGTTACAGGGATACCTTTACTTTTTTTACTTTTAACACTGTATGAATTACTTGTATGAATTGTACTTTCCATGGAATATTAAGTTTGTGAGTAAAAATCCTTCTGGACAAGCATTTTATTGGATTTGCAAACAGTCTTAATTTATCCTTCTTACATACTTAAAAAGTAAAGCTATCCCTGTACCAGGCCGTGAAGGCCCATAGGGTTCTGAGACGTTGAGGGTCCCACATTATCTAGACAATCGGCTCAAAGATGGCGGTAAGGTTGTCAGCCTTACATGCCAGTTGCGCTTTACTCCCCAGGAAAATTATTTAATTAATTCCTGGTACTCATTTCTGTTAGAGGCTGAGTAAACCGTAGGGTCTAGTGCGGCTGGAAGGATTTTAGAGTCTCAATATTTTGGAGAAATTAAAGATTTCCTGACACTTCCTATTACTACGTATTTATATGTCTGTATCTTCTTAGATGATTTTCTGTCATGGCTCACATACTGTCCTTTCTCAGCTTACCACCTAACTACAGCAAGATTTTATATCAGCTTGCACACAAGCAAAAGAGAAGAACTTGCCCTGTCAAGTCAGGGCAACACATAGAATGAAAGTTCGCTTCGCAACAAAACTGCCTAAAAATGTCAATGAACGCTTTCAATGTAACAGACTCCGAAAAAGAATTCCCTACTTTACACTGAACATAACAGTGTTTAACTGTACAGTTTTTCTTTCCCCAAATTCTGTCTTCACTCTACCAAGAGATTTAGCACTGCATTACAAGAAACAATATACCTTCTGAACTAATACTAGTAAAAGTAAATCACTACTTAGTTGTAACTGCTTCAAAGACATGGTCCCTGACATGTCACGTTCTCTCTGCCACACTTTCCAACCATTCCTCATGCTACTCAAATCAGTTTCCTTATAGAAAAATCATTTTCTCCTGGCAAGTGCTAATTCTGTAACACCATAGCTGCAGAAATAAAATTCCACATTTTTATCCCACTCACTGTCTAGGTATTTTTGGAATAAAAAATGATTATTTGAACTGTGGTATTCTTGACTGACACCATTAATTTACCAATGTTTTGGAAGAACCTACTGCCTCCATCTTCACTTCTTCCCTGAAGCTGGAGGCAGCAGGTGCCTCTGAAATTCACTCATGGAGCTGAGCCCTTCTTGAGAAGCCACCAATTGTGCAGCTACTCAGGAAATTCCATTTTATGGAACCAGAAGGTTCATTACCATGTTCACAAGAGCCCTCCACTGGTCCCTATCCTCAGCCAGATCAATCCAATCCATCCCATCCAATCCCGTCTAAGATCCATTTTAATATTGTTCACCTGCCTTTGTCTTGGTTTTCCTAGTGGTCTCTTTCCTTCTGGCTTTCCGATCAATATCCTACATGCATTCTTCTTCTCCCCCATTTCATCATTCCATGCTACATGCCCTGTCCATCTCATCCTCCTTGACTTGATCATTCTAATCATACTTGGAGACGAATACAAGTTATGAAGCTCCTCATTATGCAGTTTTCTCCAACCTCCTGTCACTACATCTCTCTTCCGTCCAAATATTCTCCTCAACACCCTGTTCTCAAACACCCTCAGTCTATGTTCCTCCCTTATTGTCAAAGAACAAGTTTCACGCCCATACAGAACCACCGGCAAAATTATAGTTTTGTATGTTCAGATTCTTACGTTTTTAGACAGGAGACGAGAAGACAAATCATGATTCTTAGGGGAAACAGTTTAATGGGCCGCGTACAATTCCTATAAAAATTGACGTGTTCTGCCTTTTAAACTGTCTCCAATACGCATTATAGTATAAAAAAAGTAAATAGGAATTGATATAATGGCATACTTAAATTCGGTTGAATATGTATTTTAGAATTTTCCACTACTTGAAACAGACGTTCTTTAATCCGTGCGAGGATTATGCAGAACGCTTCTCAATCAACTCACCTGATATCCTTACCTATGTAGTTGATCCCTTATCTCTGCTGCCTGGAGCTGTTTACGACAAACGACTGCGCCAATTGCACCTCCTGGATCTCCCAGTTCACTCGATCTCCCACCCGTGCCCACCAACTTTATATTCCGACCTTGAGACAATCCTGGATGTGCTGTGTCACTGCTATTTTCTAATTACATAAGACAACGCGAAGTCCAGCAGGTTACGCTTCGGTGTGTACAGCTTACACTTCTGCACTCCAGCGTTGCCGCTTCCATTTGGGATCATCACCCACTGGCCCGCGGTTCGTGAAGAAACATGCACTACGTGCAAGAAGATTTCCCATCAAAAGATTTGGCCACGCCAACACATGCTAGAAATAAAAACCGTCTGCAGGGTAGCGTAGTTGGTTGAGGCACTACGCTACAAGCCCGAAGGTCGCGGGTTCGAGTCCCGATGAGGTGGATTTTTTTCAATTTACCTGATCCTTCTAGCTTCACTATGTCCTAGGGTCGACTCAGCCTCAAAGGGTGAGGTCAGCAAGAAAACTGGCAACCGCAACGCAACCGCAATTTCCGAGAATTGTTATCAGCCTGAGTTGAACGTGTTACTGAATGGAGCAGCGCAAATTGAAGAAACGGCAAGGCAGTAAC